CCTAAATCTAAATCTTAAATGTACTTTAAAACCCTAAAATTTAAACACTAAACCCTAAAGGCTATGTTTGATTTGAAGGAAAAGATAAGGAAAGGAAGGGAAAGGTAAGAAAACCTTTGCAAACCTTGTATAGGTTTCCCGTCTTTTTCTTCCTTTCCCTACCTCTTCCTTCAAACTAAACATAGTCTAAAATTAATGTACATACTTACTCAAGTCTTCTTTAAATATTTTATAGATTTTCAATACCAAGATTAATATTTTTTAAATAGTGAGTTAGTGACAGACGTCATGAGTTAAGAGTGAAAGGAACTAATGGAGTCCATCGCCCTTCTACTCAAAAGGAGTCACCACTCTGATAGACTGATTGTTGTCCAATGTTTGGGAGACGCACAAGCACAATTCCACTCCACATCTCGCTACCCTCTTTATATTATTTTTTTCTTCATGTTATTCACCTTTTACATAAAACTGATTCTCTCCCAAACTGAATAATAATAAGTTTCCGCACATTAGAATCAGTCGTTCCTGAAGGAACAATTGAAACTAAGATGGTAAAGAGAGAATCCCTGTATTTTTTTAATCTGCTCGAACTATATATAAATTAACCGTCTATCGATCATATCTCCCGGTTTTTTCCTATATTGCCGGACGACCCACCTCATAAAAAGGAAATTTTGCCACAGCCCATGTAGGGATGGAGGTTGTTGAATTGATATCAGTACTTTAAACCACGTACTTGTTTTTTTAATTTCACTTTTATAGATATTTTTATAGGGTTCCACACTTCCACTATGATATGGGAAAGATTTGATATCTTAAAAACTTCTCACCAGTCAACTGAAATCATAAACGCGGTAGCCAATCATCAGGTGTTATTTATTAAAATTCATGGGCGGGTTTTGATTGGCCAAAACTCTTTCCATACCAAGTCTTTCCTGCATCATAGATTTCCCCATTTTTATATCATTAATAAATAAAATAAAGGATTTCCTAAAAATACCTTTAAACCAAGGTTTTAAAAGCTAGACCGGACGTAAAACTGTTCTTGCCACCAGTTCCCAGGTCAAACGGTTCAACCATCTGATTTGAACTGATGGCCCATTCTGATTTAAGAAAAATAAATAAATAATGGCCAAAATCATTGTTGGACCAACGGTCCAACAGTTCAATGAGGGGATCTTGTGGCTGTTTATTATAATTCTGATTGAAGTTTTCTTGCTGCTGCAGGGGGGAGATGCATGATTAGAGAAGGGCCAATAGAAGCAGAATTGTGGGCAATTTGGAAGGCTTTGTGTTTTGCTAAAGAAAGACTTTTTTTTGTTTTTTTGCTGTGATTGTCATTTCAGATTGCTCAATCTCAGTTAAGGCCTTAAATTCTGCTTATTTCAAGGACATTCTTTTTTTTTTTTTTTTTGTCTTTAGTAGATAAAGTTGTTAGCCTTTTCAAACCTTTTTTGTTTTCAAAAATTAAACATGTTGCTAGAACTAGTAATATGTCTGCACATACTATGGCGAGCATGGCTAAATGTTGTAAAAATGATCTTTTGTAGGAAGGTGATCCACCACCTCCCTGGTTGAACTGTGTTGTGAATGTAAATAATTTCTTATAATAATATATTTATTTTAACGATCAAAAAAACCACCCAAATTAGCAAATCACTGACCATGTCAACAGTTTTTGACATAACAATAATTTTAGGGTGAAATGGAATTGATTACCTGATCATTTCCCGGATCAACTGGTCCAACCGTCTGGTCCAGTTTTCAAAATCATGCTTTAAACAGGTGTATTGAAAGCCTCAAGATACTTGAAACCTCAATAATCCACTTATCCACCCTCAAACTTTGTTGTTTCACCATAAACGTGGCTTTTCAATCTGTAAACTTCAGTTATATAAATATAAATCGACTTTTACGGCCAAAGCTTTGTTTTAAGCAAATAAATGCAGCGTCATAGGCCACACAGCGTAGAGAGTAGAAACATCCCATATAACATGGATGTTGACATCTGCCATTCTTTTGGAGGGTTTTTGTCTGAAAACTTCCCTTCAGTTTTTCTATTATATTTACCCTGACTTTTCACATCTCCTAGACCCCACCCCCACCCTGTCAGACTTATTTATAAAATGCTTACCTTCCTTTACGTTCGTTGGCTCTGTTGTTGAGAACATTTTTGGGATCAACAGCCTCTGTTGTTGAGAATTTTTTTGGGATGCCACATTATCATAGAGTAGAGTGAGTGGGGCAAAATAGTAATTGCCCCCTATTTCTTTTAATCATAATCATAGACATGGGCGTGAATTGGTGATGTGTCCAGCCTAAAAATATTCTCAACAATATAGGATATCGGGGACCAACAGCTAAAGTTAATTCCAAGATATTGCTATTTCGAGTACACATAAGTGTCACATAGGCATTTTGAGTTTAACGGCCAAAAATCATGTTTGGATGGACCATATTAGAAGAAAAACAATAAGAAACTAAAATGTCTTAGAAAGAATACAATTCACCGTCACTCGAAACACCAAAAAGGTGTTTCAAGCATCAGCCGTTCAAACGGTTCGTTGACATGGTTCTACTATTCATATGTAGCATGGTGTTTCTATTTCCTTAAAAAAACACCTCACTCAAAACTGCTACTATACCAAACACCATCTAGGTTTTTTTCTCCTATTTTATGTTCTTCCCACATTTCATAACACATCAACACTCTTCCCATTTGTTTCTCAGACAAAATAGGTTGTAAGCTTTGGGCTTAGTCCCTAAATCAAGTGAAATTCCTGATCAGTACCCTATACTTTGGCTTGAATGATAATTTAGCCCCCGAACTTTAAAATGTGACAATCCAATACCAAAACTTTCAAATTGTGACAATCCAATACCCGAACTTTCAAACATTGACAAAAAGAACTGAACAGTCCCAAATCCTAGCCTCTTCTATTCAAAAATGTTGGTGATTGCTTAGAAGAATCTAGAATTTTGGATTGTTCAATTTTATTGTCAATGTTCGGATGGTTGATAAAGAGAATTATATGACATTAGAGTATTTTTGACTTTTCAAATGTCACTTAACGACTGATTAACGGAGTTCTCAACAACAGGTACTAAATTGTCACATTTTAAAAGTTTGGGTACTGGATTGTCACATTTTGAAAGTTCAAGTACTGAATTGTCGCATTTTAAAGTTTGGGGACCAAATTGCCATTCAAACCAAAGTACAGAGTATTGGTGCGGGTGTCTTCAAAGAATAGTAATTACCAGAGGAGTACTATGATAATCTTGTAGAAACTGTCATTTAACAGAAAATGTCTGACAAGGGATGTCTTCAAAGGTCTCTAAAAGTCAGGGGGTTAAGAGAATCCTCAAAAAGTGGAGAGTTTCAGAAGAACACCCTTCTTTTAGGGACATAAATCTTATCGGTCTAAAGTCGATGTGGCGGGGATGGCTGGTTTAGTCTCTATCTAATATATGCAAGTCATTCCTTATTTTCCACAGAGGAAGCAAAAATATATCCACCATACGATGGAAGTCTTTTAGCCTGTGTTTGGTTTGCAATACAAATAAAATCATGGCAGTTCAAATTAATTGAATGTAAATCCTGACCAATTTTTGTTTTAAAATGTAGCTTATTTTGTATGATTGCAATACAAATGAAGTAAATTAAGACATGAAGCAGAATAAAGTAAACCCTCAAATAAAAGAAAATGACAATTTGCATATTTTTTATTTGCACTCCATTCATTTGTACTAGTGTAAATAAAATTTCTATAGGGGGCCAAAACCTAAATGAAGTATGGATAGACCCATAGGGGGGACCAAACCATTGAGGTGGAGAGTAGGGGGAGAGAAAAAATTACATAAAAAACTGTATTACTGTGAAGATTTTCTAAACCATAGGGGGGGCCATGGCTCCACCCTTGCAACTAAACGCAATATTAGGCTCAGTTTGAAAGGAGTACAAATACAAATATATACAGTGCAAATGCATACAAAATAACAGAAAATATAAGATTTTGTACTCTATATATTTGTATTTGTATTCATTCCAAACTGAGTAAGAACTGAATTACCCCACAATAAAACCAGTTCAGGTGAGGAACGCCACCACCCACCCACACCCAGGATTCAACACACCATCAAAATACCCTAAGAAATCTCCTAGCTCAATAATCAACCTGATCATATCTCGGTAGTTTGTATGTGCTGCGATCATGAATTGTATCGAAATCGAAACAGTAAGAAAAGAACTTGTGCAAAAATTCAACAACCAAGGCACCAAACAGGAACTGATTGCTGTCAAAACTTATTCTGCCATTGTTCACAACAAAAATTGATCAAACTACTTTGTTGTATCAATAAAATGGAATTTCGTAGTTAAGGAAAGAGAGGAGCTAAGTCCTGTATACGTATTACGGAATACAATGCGAATCAGCCACTCCTAACCATGCACAACCCCATAACGAAAACTAAGGCAGAGAAAGAGCTCTGCTGGCTCCTGGCTATGTCGTCAGTGACCTAATTCCAAGTTAAAACGAACCAATTGGAAATCTCAAAACTTGGAAAGATAGATTCGAAATGCACCACTTACGTACTCTTATGGTAGAAAAAGCATGCAAATAGACTTCATGAAAAGAGATTTACATTGGTTCGCAACTTTGCATGTATGCATTTGGACAATCATGAATTATAGCTTTCGTTTAGATGGTTTTCATGCTGGAACGTAATGTTAATGAAATTGACCAAGCAACAGTGATATTTACCCACCATTTCTCCCCTCTCTCTCTCTCTTAGCCAATGATATCTAATCTACCCACTTGCACTTGGAAGATTAGACCACCGTATAAAACCAAAGCTCATCCAAGCAGAAGTCAATGTCACGGCAAGGGGTCCTTCCAAAGGCCATGAAGCCCATGACCCATCTTGCAGCCACAGCAAATAAAAATAAAAATAAAAATAAAATAAAAAAATGTAAGCAAGTACAAACTTTTTCTCCTTCTCTTTTCTTTTCTTGTGCTTCCCAAATCCTTCCGATTCGTCAGAGTGGGAGTGTGGAACCAGTTGTACCATGCCAAGTGGGTAATGGAAAATGTGTGGGTCCCTCTTCCTTTTCATATTGTATGTACAACATGTTGAATAAGTACCAAACTTATCGAAGGAGACAAAAGGGAATACAATTCCTCATTCCATTCCTTGCTTTCAGACAATCTCCGAGAAAGAGCATCTCTCCAGAAGGCTTAATTTTTTTTCTTTCTTGAATGTATCTAATTCCCCAGTTACTAGATGCCCCAGTCAAAAGAATCTTCTACATTACCTTCCATATCACCAATAAAAAAATAATGTTCTTTTTATTTTTGATAGCTAGGCTGGAATTAATCCTCATTTCCAATCTCATTAGTTTACTATCAGCAGCATTTTTTTGTGATTCTGAAGGCATTATCAACAAGAAATGTGATTTCAAGACTCGGATGTGAGTCGATCTGTAGATATAACTATTTTAAAGAATCCCCCGGAGGCTTAGAAGGCCTCGAAACCATGAGAAAGTGGATTCCCCTTCCTGGGTCAGAAAATTCCTCACCCATCAAGGAATGAGGTTCCTACTTTTGCCAGAGGGACCAATGCAAAAGAATACAAAAGCTTTGGTGGATCTATTCTTGTACCTATTGCAAGGTGTGAAGTGTTCCGGAAAGTTATTGTGCAGAGGAATTCAAATGGGAAGTAATTGTCTAGGAAAGGAAAGTGGAGTTCCAGGACAGGGCCCACCGATACCCACAGTGAGAAGGACAATATCTCTTTTCAAGTCACTGTGAAGATCAGATTGGGCCGAGTGTTCCGCCGGTTCTGTCCAAGATTCTATACTCTCTCATTTTGCTTTATAATGACAACCCCATGCAACCCTTCATTTCGTAAGAGCTGGTCAAAGACCGAAAATAAGCGTATGCACATATTCCGGCAGCACATATAGCACAACTGAGCTCTCGCCTCTCAAGGAATAGTAGGCTAGATCAAGGAGAAAGAGGAAGAAAGGTAAGAACTCAATTTGCCATGACACTATTTTCTTGCTTTCCCATCTCAAGACAGATAAGTGAATGTTGTCTCTGAATAACAGATGTATCATCATCATCATCACCACGGGAAGACCAGCTTCCCTTCTTCAACGATGTCTATTCCTCCAGAAAGACATTTGTTCCTGCAAAATGGAAATGGCCGTGGAGATACAGGATTAATTCTCTCAACTGATGCTAAGCCCAGATTGAAGTGGACACCAGAGCTCCACGAACGCTTCATTGAAGCTGTCAATCAGCTTGGAGGAGCAGACAGTGAGTATATATATATTGAAGAACATCAGAGCTAATACCCTCCAAATGACACAGCTAATTCGAGACTTTTCTGTGTTACAGAGGCTACTCCAAAAACAGTTCTGAAGCTCATGGGGATTCCAGGGCTTACCTTGTATCACTTAAAAAGCCATCTTCAGGTACATTACTAGAGTTTGGTAAGATTTCATTACAAACTCACTGTATTATATGTTACACAAACTAAGTTCTTTTGGCTCACAGAAATACAGACTCAGTAAGAATCTCCACGGACAAGCTAATATGGGGACCAACAAGAATGGTAAGAAGACAAGTCTCATAAAGATATTTACAAGTACGTAGTCAAATAAAATCATTTTTTTAGTGCGGAAAGCAATAATCTTAAGAAGAGGAACAAAATATTAGCTTTTGTAAGAAATAGAAGCAATTCAATGAAGACATGTTTACTAACTGAGAATAGAACATACAATGGCAGTGGCAGGAGACAGGATATCTGAAGCAAGTGGAGCACTAATGAGCAATACAAGCCCCAGTTCCCAGACAAACAAGTGAGAGAAGAAAACAGATTATTTCTTTTACTTCTTTTACTTTATTTAATTTCTGAAGAGAAAATGAACTTACATGGATTTCAAATATCAGAAACTTGCAGATAAGTGAAGCAATTCAAATACAAATTGAAGTGCAGAGAAGGCTGCATGAACAGCTTGAGGTATATGACATACAAATTCCAGAGATTTTATTAATTCCCAAAACCAAGCATGACTTGTTTAACTCAACAAAAAAATAGCAATTTGTCAAAAATGTCAAACTTATTGATTGCTCTTTTAGAAACTTCTCAACCAACCTTTAGCAAGACCAAATTAAAGCAAAACTTCACACTAATCCTTACTGAAATAAAAAGCTTCCATGCAAAATTTCACCTGATTGTATGTCATTTTGTATAAATGAAGGATTTCTATGTTTTGGCATATAAGTGCATAGGAAAAAATTGTAATATTCGTTACATTAGTTCATATTGCAATAAAACCTCGGATTTGCGAGGTGATTTTGAAGACTCTATACATTCAGCAAGAAGCTGTGGCAGCCTAAATGTCAGGTTTAAGATGTCAATCGCTTCACAAAATTTTACAATCTACTTTTCTAGTATTTCAAGACTCACTTGGTATTTTTCTTAATTTGAATAGTGCTTCTATGATCACAGCTTATTTCTTAGTCTGCACATATAAAGTTGGTTCAATATATTATCAAAAAAAAAAAGTTGGTTCAATGTGTATTTGTATATAAACCCAACAGCTTGCTCTGAACTGAACCAGGTGCAGCGACACCTACAGCTCCGGATAGAAGCCCAGGGAAAATACCTTCAGTCGGTGCTGGAGAAAGCCCAGGAGACACTTGGAAGACAGAACCTGGGCTCTGTGGAATTTGATGCTGCAAAAATGCAGTTTCCGGAACTAGTCTCCAAAGTATCTGCTGAATGTCTGAACTCCACCTTCCCTGAGTTGAAAGAATTGCAAGGTTTGTGCTTGTGTCCTCAGCAAACACAAAAAATGCAGCCCACGGATTGTTCAGTGGATAGTTGCTTGACCTCATGTGAAGGATCTCAAAAGGACCAAGAGATACATAATATTGAGGTGGGTTTGAGACCTTATCAGAGTAGTGCATCTCTGGGCCTAAAGGAAATTGTGGATGACTCCAGGATTGAGCAGCCTGAACCTACATGGGGAGAAGACCTGAATGAAAATAAAATGTTTTCTTCTTCCATCGGAAGAGATGCCGAAAGAATCATGTTCCCCATGCAAAGAAGCTGCAGCAGTTTATCTACGACCAGTAGGGTTCAGGGAGAAAACCGGAATGCCAGCAGCAGCTTTGCTGAGGCAAGAACCAAAGAAGGAAATGAAGATGACAGCTTCCTTAACCAAAACAGTGCTAGAAGACCTGTGGCTAATCTGGAGAATGATATGTCAAAAGGGTTCAGATTGCCACATTTAACAGCAAAACTGGATTTAAATACCCAAGAAAATGATAGTACCACTCACAAACAATTTGACTTGAATGGATTCAGCTGGACCTAAGAGGTGGCATTGTAGTTGGACATAGTAGATCAACCTAAGTCCATGCTCATTGGACACTTACAGTTTTCCTTCCATCTCCTTGGAGGTAGTTCAGACTTCAGAAAGGTAGCTCTCTGTTCAGCATTCAGCACTGAAAACTATTTTGCAATGGCAGCATATCAAGGTTGATGACTTGAGCTCAGGATGAAGCTAGGATCGAAGGCAACAAAGATGAAAATGAGACCCAACCATCCGATTAAATTGAGAAATCAATAACAGATGTTGCTCCGAGAAAAATGTATTTTCCATTGTTTAAAATCTTGTGAAAAGAGTAACACTTAATAGTAGATTGTGCTACATAACTTCTTAGCTTGCAATGAAATGCATGTGAACCTCAAAGTGAATGTTTAGGTCAATAAACTTTAATATTTCTGCACAATACATGAATTGTAAGTAGCAAGCTGGTTAAATAGGAAATATCAGCTCGCTAGGTACTTCTATAAGTTGGGCTTTTCAGATCAGAAACAAGATAAAGGAGGGTTGTGTTAGGTTGTTAGCCAGCATCAAAACTTTTTCCGAAGTCTTACAAGAAGTTCGAATTATCATTTTGTGATCATGCTGGGTGTTCCCTGGAAGTGATGGACTGTAACGCCCAGTTGTATTGATAAATAAGCAAGGTTTCTCACTTCCTTTTGGATGAGGGTAAGTAAAGAAGTTAGTAAAAGAAATATGCATTCAACTAATTACTTAAATATAGGAACATTAACAAGAAAGGCTATGGAACTAGTAGACATGGTGAAGAGGAAAAGGATTAACACAGCATGTTTACAAGGAACTAGAAGAAGGAAAAAAAAAAAAAAAACTAAAGAAATTGATGAATATAGAGCATGGTGCACAACACAGGAGAAATCATCATCATCCAAGCCTTGTCCCAACTATATGTATAATCTTCTTTTCTTATTTCACCATTTCTTTTCTTATCTTCTTTTCCTAGGACAAAAATAGAGGCTCAGCCCCTCTATTTTGTGAAGTTTCTTTTCTTTCTTCCATTTTTTTCATAAATATGTTGATTTTCTATGTTTCAAATGAAGCTTATACATTTTCTATGATGTTTATAGACAATTAATAGTGAAAGATGGCTGTTGCTTGTTATGAAACCTAACAAATTACCCTAGGATTTATGATTTTTATTCATAAAAAGGCACATCACCTAAGTGACTAGGGGAAAACTAATAGCAAAAGATGGCTTTCGTTCAAAATAACCCATCACCTAGCCTCGCCTCGATACCTTGAAAACTATGCCTTCAGGTTCCACTACCTTTGACAGTCAACAAATACAAAGATAGCTTAACATGTGGAGCCATGAGTTCACATGGTCACAACACTTTATTTTGACCCTCGAATAAAACACCACATACTATTAGCAATGGTAATTTTCCCCATCCTCGACGGGGACCCGACTTCCCCGACCCGATGGGGTCGAGTATGGGGATTGTTTTGGTGGAGAGGGGACAGGGACGGGGATTAATAGGAATCATCAAAACATATTTAAAACATTATTTATAATTTAAAAATTTTATTTATTTTAAGTAAATTTATTTTTCAAAAAAAATACTGCTATCTAAAACAATTTTGGGGATTCGGGTCCCCGTGGAGAACCCATCCCCGTCGGGGATTGGGGATGGAGGACAAATTTTATCCCCGATGGGGATCGAGGACGGGGATGGGGTTAATTTCAGAATCGGGGTTGGGGATGGGGATTATGACCCCCACCCCGAACCCGCCCCGTTGCCATTCCTACATACTATCAACTAAATGAAAAACCAAATCACCCAATGAGTGCTTGCCTAGGGGATTTGGTTTTATTTGTTCTCATGGTCACAACACTTACTTGCAATCATCTAATAAAACAGAGACATGCTATTAATCAAATGAAAAACTAAATTATCTAGTGAGTGCATCTTGTTGTTTCTATCCCAAATGACACACTAACAACTTGCTAACATATGAAAAAATAGAGATTGCCTATAAGGTCTACTACCATACTATGACAATTTAGAAATATTAAGGTAGTCTAACATGTTGAGCAATTAGTTCAAGCAACATAACACTTTCTTGCAACCCTCCAATAAAACACAAACATGCTATAAATCAAATGAAAACCAAATCACCCAATGAATGCATGCCCGGGTGATTTGGTTTCAATGAGTTCACATTGTCACAACACTTTCTTGCAACCCTACAATAAAACACAAATGTTAACAATCAAATGAAAAATCAAAACACCCAGTGAGTGCATGCTTTTTTCTACCCAAATGATGCAAAAAACAATCCACCAATATATGAAAAAAAGAGGCCACATCTAAGGTCTACTACCTTACTATGACAATCAAGAATTGCCAAGGTAGCCTAATATGTGTTGCGATGTGTTCACATGGCAACAATACTTTCTTGTGACTCTCCAATAACACTAACTTGCTATCAATCAAAAGAAAGACCAAATCACCTTGTGAGTGCATGCTTGGGTGATTTGATATTGACGAGCGCACATGGAGACAACACTTTCTTATGACCCTCTAATAAGTCATGAACATGCTAATAATCAAATTTAAAACAAAATCACCTTATGAGTGTATGGCTGGGTGATTTGGTTTCAATTTGTTCACATGATTGTAACACTTTCTTGACCCTCCAATAAAACACAGACATTCTATCAATCAAATAAAATACCAAATCACCCAATGATTGCATGCTTGTTGTTGCTAGGCAACTAGGAAACAAGGCACCCCAATCGTCTAGCCTCACCACGACACCTTGAAAACTTTGTTCGCTACATATAGCCCTTATCCAAAGGTTCTCCTTCTACCCCATAGGCCCATACCTACATAACCACCTACCAAGGACAGCCTTGTCCATGAATATAAGTGAGAGAATACTCAATTCTAACAAAATGCCTTCTTCATGATTCTAGACTATTGCACATTTATAGAGACTATGCACTACTCTAATAGCTGGCCTTAAGATCTAAATGAAGGAATTGTTTGTTCTGAAGCCAAGTGATAGAGATATGGAGCTCAAGCATACAACTAAAGGAAGAAAAATCTAGTTTGATAGTCATAGAGGTATTACTATACTTTTTCAAACTATGATACCCAGATAGGCATTTCAGACACTTATACATATAACATATTACATGGATACTTCTGGATGTACTCTATAGCATTACCACTTTTCGAATATGTAAACTACTATGTTTTAACAAATCATCCTATAAAAAATCTGTACAAGACTACATGTTAGAAATTTAATAAACTAGAAAATAACTTTTAGAAAGCTTAAATTAAACAAAAGCTGGATCACCCAAAAATTGCAAAATTACCACCAGTGCAGAAATCTATAAATATGTAATTTCTTCTTCCATGGTTCCTTTCCTTTGTTCCACACCTACATCAGTTATTCTAACTAATGCTTTTTTTTCCTTTTTTCAAATTCTTTGCTAGTGATTAATTAGTTAGATCTTATAAGGTAAATGCTAATTATTTGAAGGGCCAAGACTCAAGGGATTTATATTACTAATAATCAAATTTTGGATATGGAAGGTACAAATTAAATTACAAAGGTTTCTCTACAAGAACTTGAAGGAGGCTCTCCACCATCAAAGATGATTTCTCTCTCTTTTCTCTAAAAAGGGCTATTGCCTGATTATTATTGCAGCTATCTGGATCTTGGGAGGGATAGACTGCATACAAACCTAACCCTATGCATTTTATTGTTCAAAGTGGTCACTCACAAGCGCAAACCAATGTTCTCATGCTTGTCAGACTAAGAGCACCGAGCAATAGTCCCATGCTTCTCCCTCTTTTCTCTGTTATAATTTATTTTATATTAATTAAAAAAAAAGTACATAGCACCAAAAAATAATAATGTTTCACTCATCATGAGGGGGATGAAGCAATTTAGCTCTAAAAGGACTTCCTTCTCCTTTTGGCCCTGAAATGACCAAAATGATCTCAGTACATGCAGCTCACCACCTACAAGTGAGGATCCCAGATTGCCAATCGGCAAGCCACCAATGTTCAACATAATTCGGGTAAAATTCATCATTGATTGGCATCCTCTAATGATAGCATTAAGTAAGGTCCTTGAGCACAAGTGAAAGCCATAAATCACCAACACACAAAGAAACAAAATAACAAGCCAGAAACACGTTTATGTGGTTCGACATGAAAGTTTATGTCCATAGGAGAGGGAGATCAATCCACATCCTAAGGTTTGAAAATAAACAAACTAATTAAAAGTTCCAAGACATAAAAGCAAGCCAATGTAATGATGCAGCCTGCGCCAAAATTTTGCGACTGAATGAAGCAAACAAAACTGAGTATTACTGAAACAAATAAAGCAAACAGAGAAAATAAAGAACTATCTCCCTGCCAGCAAAGATATTACTACATCAAATAAAGTTGTCCCACTAGTGCAAAATGGAAGGAAAAACACAAAAGAAAAAGGGGAGAAAGAAAGAAAGAAAGAAAGAGAAAAGCAAAAACAGGTTAACAATTTCTTTATGATGTATGGAACGTTTAGAAAAGCAAACATTCAGAAAATTTTAAGAAAAAATCATTCACTTCCAAAAAGAAGCACGTTTAAAAGTGATAGACAAAACCAAACCCTACAGAGAAAACAGAAGGCAAAATTTGGTTGACCTAATATTGCAATTACAGGCAAAAAATGAATAATTATTGAACATTAGCCAAAGTAAGTCTAGATTTGTATATTGTATATCATGAAATATAAGTAGATAAAGGAGAAACATGATTCCCCGTCACATGTGACTATTACTGGACTATAATAGATGTCACTTATTTCAGAGGTGGGGAAAATGTGATCATGAACCAACTGATACTTCTAGTTCTTAGTTTATTAATATAAGAGAAAAGGAAAATTGAGTCACAATGGACACATCTTTATCTACTTCTTAATTCTACGGAGTTTCTTGGGCCCCCAAACCTCCATTCTACCAGCAGGACATCCACAAGGTGCTCGAAAGATGAGAACCGTGCGACCATTCAATGGCGCCATCCTTTTCAGCTCTGCTTCCAATTCCTTGTGATCCTGGCCCAACTCTAAAGGTCTGACACCATACGCGTCCTTTGGCACAGGAGACAGGTATTTCACGCACTCTTCTGATTCAAGCTGGATATCAAACTCTACCGCCTTACGAAGTCCCTTGCAGTAAGGATTCCCACACTTCCTATACTTGTGATGGATGATCTCCCATAGAGCAATCACCATAACGAAAGTTACAACCAAACCAACTACATAAGCAACAGGTGCGCTGCATATTACATCGCTAACGAGAGCATAAACTGCAGGAAGAAGCTCGGAGGCTTCATGGAAAAGAAATTTGAAGTATGGGACCATCAGAAATCCAAGCGCTCCAAGTACCAGAAAAAACAGAATGATGTCAACAGCAGCAAACAGCGAGTGATCACAAAACTGGTGTGGCAAGGGATTTAAAGAATTGCTGTGTTTCTTACTACGAGAGTAATTGTGGTTACTTCGATAATCAGACATGCCGAAGGAATTCACTGTGTTCCTGTGCTGATCAAAAGACTTGCAAAACTCAATCAAGCTTCGGCAATCAACCATTGGTAGTTTCATTAAGCTATGAAAGAGTGAAGAATCTGTAGATAAAAAGAAAAGGCTTCCTAATTTGCTGAGATTCAGTCGCTGTGATTCAATTCTTTGATCTATCAGAGGCTAGCTACGTCACAAGTAATCCGAGTTCCTGTTCGGCCAGAGCTTAGTCTTTAAACAAATCTCTATACCGATTCACCAAACTTTGTCAGTTTGTTTTCCTTTGTAGCTGAGACTTGAAATGAAGCAAACGAATCCAGTAACTGCAGATAAGAATCGAAGAACGAATGTTGCAGACAAAGCCGGTTTCCACCGGTTCAAAGAACCAACTCACTACGAACAATTTCCACTGACAGATCTCCAGATCAGAGAGTTCCGAATCGATTGAAAGACGAGAATATCAGCAAGAACAAAGAAAACGATAAAAGAGCACCTGATATCTCAGAATTTTAGCAACCGATATAATCGGATCTTCAACACCCGAAAACCAATTCGTCAATCTCCAGACTGCGTTGGCGCATTTAAGACCCTTGTTTCTAGATTAAGACAAACTGAATCACAGCCAGTAAATCGATCTATCAGTTATTCACTTATTCTGAATTCTGAACTCGCGGAGCTTCAGAATTCGATCCGCTTGATCTCGTCAGAGAGAGAGAGAGAGAGAAAGAGAGAGATTTCTCAGTTCAATGCCGGCCGTGAGAGAGATCTCATGCGAATTACAACCGTATGAATCTCCGTGAACGGAAATGGTATTTATACTCTCTCTCTCTCTCTCCCCCCCCCCGCCTGTCTATTGCTTACTGATTCACGCGTCCGGCGTCACGCCATTTGGGAGAGACCGAAAATCCACGCCGACTCACGTTCTACCACATTTACAATTACCTGGTTGCCCACGCTTTCGCAACGTAAGATTACGAAAATACCCTCCCATGACAATCTATGATATAATTCCTTTTTTATTCGTTTCTTCGACACGTGTTACTATGACAAGTCGGTATTACTAATGGCAAGTCAGAGTCCGGCTCTCTACCCACAGCTTCCTATCAATGTCCCTGCCCCACGCCATAAATTTTGGACACATCTACATTAACATGTTACTCTTCTTCAAATATGCAGAATTGCATTTAAGTTAAGAGGATATAAAGGCCCTTAGAACTCAGAATTCACCCATTATCTTAATTAATTTTTAACCTAAAAATAATTACTTTTCCCTTCACAAGATCCCTAATAGTGTTTCGTTGATCTAAGATAATTTATAAGCAACTGACAACTGGCAACCAGCAACCGACAATATGTTTACCAGCATATTATTCTCTCCATACTCCATTATTTAACCTTCTTGTATTCTCCACAACGTCTTATTCCAAGAGGTTCTACCGACATTCAGCAACCGGCAATTGAGGACATACTCACACTGATGGTTAAGTAACCGAGAGGATTTAATTAATTAGTTATTTAACACAATTGATCAAATAGAGAGATCAATTTATCTGCAAGGAGTTGGCATCTGGGTTCCCCAAAGTTTGGCTGAGCATTAAAACACAAGGCCAAGGGAGCCAAATCATTGAGTTTGGTGCTGTTGTATATCAAATCGATGTCGAACAGTTGAACGTCCTCACAGGGCACCTATTTGCTGCACGCGATATCGACTGCAACCTTTGATGCCGAGGTGCCTCTGATATTCTTGAAATGAACATCGCTGATCTTTACACAAGATGGCTGCCGGCTGGAAAATAAAATAGAATCAATCAGTGGTTCTGACTTCTGAGTGATGAGTGTATATAGTAAATATTTTCTGTATTGGTTGAGGTTACTTAACCACCGGTGTATCAGTGAGCACGTCCTCGATTGCCAGTTGTCGGATGTCAGTAGAATCTCTTAGAATAGGACGTTGTGAAAAAGAGAAGAAGGTTAACTAATGGAATACGGAGAGAATAAGTTGTCGGTAAATATATCACTGGTTGCTAGTTGCCGATTGTCCGTAAAGTTTCTTAAAACATTACGTAGTAGAGATCGAATGGAGAGAACGAAACACTATTAGGGTTATTAGGAAGGGGAAAGTAATTATTTTTATGTTAAAAAATTAATTGGGGTATTGAATGAATTCTGAGTTCTGACGGGATGGACTTAATGTCCGTCCCATTACATCCTTTTGACTTCACATACAATTCTGCAAATGTGAAGAAGAGACATATGTTAATGAATATGTATTCAAAATTTACGACGTGGGCAGGAACGTAGATAGGAAGCTGTGGGCAGGATATCCAGGCTCCGCAAGTCAACCCCGCTACAAAGTACAAACGGAGGAAAAAGAAGGCTGAACTCTTTCTATGAATGCAAAAACAAAATGAGAAGCTAAAAGCATACAGGCAAAAAGTAGATCCAACCCGCTAACCCGACCTGACCCAATCCCAAAAAAGTGGGTCAGGGCCCCCTCTCCACTGATCAGAGTGCATTATGTCCGAAATCCCAAAAGAATCTGGGTCGGGTAACTGGTCACTGCTGGGTCGACTCTTTCCAGACCAACGTTGACCCGAATAGTTGAACTGTTCCCATTTGACCCATGAATCAACCCTCATCTGAATATTTAGAGTTTAGGGTCTAAGCATTTATCAATTTAACCCGAAACTTGACCTGATCCCAATCCAGCCCGAGCAACCCGATTGCCAGGTCTACCTCAAACTAATATCTTTAACCACATTAGACCAGGCTAGCCCGGTGTCCATGAATCTGCAACTCTTGACTCTTTGCCTCAAGGGAGATATTCCCAATGCACACGGCTATAAAGAGCTGTTGGGACTGATTGTTGGAATTCTTGTTAGGATTAGATCCTCAGACCAAGAACGAGGCCAAATTTGCTTGGCAGGCCAAAATAATCAAGAACAAGCAGACTAAAAATGCAAGTACTCAACCGTGTATGGGTAATGGGTTTCACAAAAAGTATTAAAAACAAACCGTGTATGGCATGATGGAAGGCTACGTTGGTTTGCCAAGTCTTGTCGTGACTGAAGAGTCAAAATATCTTAAAATCCACGGGTGAATCGATCAATCAAAACCCAAATGTGCATTTACCATTTGAAGGAGAAACAAAGAGAAAACCCCAGGGAGAACAAATACAAGAACAAACTGCAATAAATGTTTAATATTTTTAAAGGTTTCGTGTAAGATATCTCAAATTGCACTAACCCCACCATCTATAAAATACCAACTATATCTATTTATATTTTATACAAGGAAAGATGGAAGAAAGTAATAAGTAACTATGTTCAAAAAAGCCTCTTCTCCTTTCCTACACACACATATATATATGGTTTATTTATTTTAAAGAAACTAGGAAGTGTGTAAATAACATGTTTATTCAGTAATTTTTTATATTTTTTACTATAAAAATTAATTTTATTTATTATATTTATTTTTGTTTAATATGATGAATTTATACATTACAATGTATCCAAATGTCTTTACAAAATTTTGTATTGTGTTTTCATTATTATTTAATTATGACGGTTGAGACATTTGACCAAAAGGCAAAACTGTTGATTCACCACCAAACAAGAAAACAAAGGGATTGATTTTAAATTTGTATTTCATTCTATCATCAATAAAAAACAATTATACTAGGTGACAATTATTTTTTAATATGATTAATTAATATAGGAATAGGAGTTAATGCCTTGATATAAGACTTAATGAGAGGGAATTGAACAAGGGAGAAGGAATGTCCATTCCCTCAAATGGGGGAATGCCATTCCACTAATAATGGGAATGAGACTTCAATTCTACCCACCAAACAGTTGGGCCATTCTGATTCCAATTCCAGACCCTATTCCCCTAGCCGATTGGTCCCTTATACTTGACACAAGTCCCTAATTCCTAAATGCCATGTCATCCATACAATAGTGAACCTGATAAAGTACAAGTTATGGGTGCATTTCCTTGTTAGAATTATACAACGTTCCTCAATGCTATCGATGATGTGATGTTGGGCACTTAGAAATGATCGCTGGTTCTTGGTTGACTTCGTTTGTCTTTCCTTTCCAATTACTTGAATGATTGTAGCCCATTCTGACATTTTCATTTGATTTCATAATGTTCTAGTTAAAATCGTTGAATAATGGCCCTTTTTTTCAAACTAAAGTTTATATATCCGGACCTAAGTAGGACCGACTCTACTCTTTCTCCACTAGTAAGAGACTAATGAATGCCAAAAGAAGAATAAGAAAATATATGTTGACGAGTAGATACGGAGTTATCAATCTCTTTTTTCTACTTTGGGCTTGATGATGTTTGTTGAAGTAGGAGGTGGATTGACTCATGACCCCAAACTTGGAAATGGGGTCAATAATTATAAAGTAGACTTCACCTTCTAAGTGGTCGTTTTAGGGACCCAGCAATGTCTAGCACTATAGCTAGTTTGGGTGTCATCAGATTTGATAAACCACGACTCCCACTTGGGAGATGGGCCAAGGTGTTGATGACTTCATGTAGAAATTTGACCAGCCAAATGCCTGCAACTGCAAGACTACAGATGGGCTTATCCCAAACCGGCTTCAAATAAAGGTTGACCTAACTCGGCATAGAACAGAAGTCGGACCTAGCTTGGACAGGCCCGGTAATGCCAGGATTCATGCTAATCTAACCCAGTCCCATTTCTGTCCAGGTTGGATTAAAGCTCCTAATCCAACTAATTCCATCCATAGATCCCTCACAGAAAATGAAAATATATTAACCAAATGGGATGGTGCTACCCATGCAATTACTTTTTCAAGGGTTGGGAAAAATACAACAATGAGACTGCCACCATCATTCTCATTACTAATGAAGTTAGTTTGACATTTACTTGGTAGGATACACCAGAAAATAGTTGTCAAGGACAAGAAAATATGAAGATAGATCCAGAAGGTGACACTGGAGATATGGTGCAAGGAGGTTTTTCTTTTTTCTAAAATCTTTAGTAAAACAAACGTGCAGACATTTTGGGAAGATACTATTAGACTTTTCATCAGAAGCCAAACTCAAATGATTTTGGGAAAGATTTCTGAGCATATATCTCTGACTAGCAGTTGATTTCATAGTTTAGGACTAGACACATTCCAAGTGATGTAACAAAAATCTTGGTGACTAGCAAGTTCAGGTTCATGGCATGTATTTTATAGTTCATACTTCATACCAGCCAGAGAGCACAAGCACTGCCCACAGAACATCTGACGAATCACAGAAACCTCAGACCATGACAACATATGAATCACTAGTAAGCTAGTACTGAACTACTAGTCCAAAGCTAAATGAGAACACTACCGGGACATTCATTTGAAACATTTCATAATAGTCATTTTATGCATAGAAGAAATTGTAGAAGCGTATTGATAAGCATCAAATATGTTTGGACATGAACTTTAACAAAACATCTAGATGGTAAGAAAAATCCAGGGACAGATTATGGGAACCAATCTTTAGGATGATCATCCTCGTTGAGAAAATCACCAGTATATCTTGAGTCAAATAAGGGTAATGGAAACAATAGTTCTACATTATGTCATTGTTAAAGTGAGATGAGAAGATAATGGACAAAAAATAAACTACTGAAGAGAATGATTTGCAGATATTTTCCAGTTTTTTTGGCTGAAATTTGTCAGGTTAAATGTTTACATGTGTAATTGCTTGTGGTAATCTAGGGAGTGCTCGCCAATGTGTATGGTTTTGTTTTTGAAAACAGAAACAACCACCAAATCGGTAAAAACAATATAATTTTGCTGATGTAGATGTTTTTTTGTTTTTTGAAAAGAAAACCATAAACATGCGAACACCACCCTAATTGTGTGGATG